CGTAGGCATGTGGCAGTCCCGGCAGATGCCATCAGGGTCGGGGTCGTGCAGCGCCAGCTCGCGCGGGTGTGGGTGATGTGGCACCCAGTGGCGGCTATCAGGGTGCTTCCAATCGCGGCGAAGGATGTGTTCGAAGCGCAGGGGGACGAGGTCAATCAACTCCTGCGAGTCGCCGCTGAAGTCGGGAATGTCAAAGTCGAGAACGTATACTCCGTTCTCGGCGTGTGCTCGTCCGATCTGCTTGCGCTTCTTGTTCGGCGTCATGTAGTGAAGCAGGATGTCACGTGTCTTGGGATCGGTGCTGAGAATTACGCCGCAATCCAGAAGTTGCGCCGCCAAGAGCAGGTTGAAACGCAGGTTCTGTACGATCAAGACGTCATTCAAGGTGATGTGCGTTTTGCTCCCATGCGCTTTCAGCACCACAATGCCTTGCGCGCTTGCGCGCAGCCGCGTATTGTTCGCCACAGTGACATAGGTGACGGCGGGGGTGGGGATGGCGTTGGATATGTAACGCTCAGAGCCCACCATGTGCTGCCCACAGCAGCTGTCCAGGTACCAGTTGTTGTAGCGCCTGTTGTCGTTTCGCGCGAGCAGCGCCAGTCGCGGAGTGACGATGTGTGGAGTGTCGACTTTGAGGAATTGTTCGCGTGCTATCCAATCGATCGGTGCCGGCCGCATGTCTGGTACGTGCAGGGGGCTTTCAAGCAGCGGAACTAGGAGATTCCAGTCTTGTTGGTTGTCATCGCTGTAATCGTGACGCGTGCTGAACGGGTTGTTGTTCGAGGACGCTTCGATTGGTTCAGGCGCTGGCTCAGGCAAGAGTGAGCGCGCGCGCGGACGACGGGATCCGCTCGTTATGGTCATGCTTCATGACATTGCGGACGGGGGTGGCCTGTGATGGCTGCTGCTGCTGCTGAACTGTTGGGTTCAGACTTCGAGATGGGGGTTGATACCCCTGGGCGGGACTCGTGTCGTTCCTCGAGTCTTGTCGGCCGGACCAGTTGCTCGAATTGGTCTGGCGAGGGCGAGATCGAAGCTTGCATCGATCCGCCAAGTGCCCGAAATTCCTGCAGATTTTGCAGTAAAGGCGCCGCGGCCGTCGCTCTTCTGTGTTGTCGGCGAAGAAGGCGAGGCGCTCCTTGTCTCGTCGCGGCGCTGGTCGCTGCTGGTCCATATTCCTTTGTTCGACGAGAAGGGCGGCGCAAAGGGCGGCCTCCGAGATGACCCCCTGCTGTCGGAGAAGCGCCTTGCAGGGCCGCCACTCTGGGCCGAGCCCTTGGAGCACGATGTTCACGAATATCTCCTCAGAGATCGAGCTCCCCAATTTCGCGATTTGATCGCGTAAGCTCCGACAGCGATTCAGGTAACTGTTGGCCTTCTCTCCTGGTGCCATCTTTGTCTCCAGTAGCTGCTGGAGTAGGCGGCTCGATGACACTGAGTCCTTGGGTTGGTACACACTGTTCAGGTGGCGCCAGGCGTTGAGGGCTGGAGCAGGGGAGGTCTTGTATGAGCGAATGCTCAGTTGCTCCGTCGGCGACATGTTCCGCAGAAGAACCCCATACGACATCAGAGACTCGTTGTAGTACTTGGTTTTTGCGTCGTCAGTATCTTCTGTAGGTCCCGAGTAGCTCCCGTCGAAATAATGATAAATCTGCGCGTTTTGCAGCAGCAGCTCCAGCTCGAAGCTCCAGGTATAGAAGTCTCTGCCGTCAAAGCACACACTTGTCTTTATTTTTGATGTGCTTAAAAACCTTGATTGTGCAGAGAGAATTGCTTCATTGCTGGGACAGGGAGTCTTGAATGTTGAGCCATTCGTGTCGAGAGAGAAGCCTTGCGGGGCGGAGTTCTGGCCGTTTGAGGCCGGTTGAGTAGGTTGGGAAGAAGTTCCCGCGTCGCCATTCCGCAATGTTTGGAGCCCTTGCTTCAGGCTCGTGAGTCGCTGAAGCAGTTATGCGAGGACGGCGGAAGGGATCGTCGTCGTTTCCTCGTTTGTCGCAGCCGGGTTGGGCTGCGCTTCAGCCGTCAAATTCGTCTGACCTCCAGATCCTCCGGCCATTCTTACACGCGATCGTGTGCCGGACGCCACTTTCCGAATGTCGTAGGTTTCGGAGGTGGCAGTGCGAAGGATTCCTGAGTCGCTCTCATACCATGCTGCGATCAAAAGTTGATCGTAACCAGGATCACCTCAGGAAGGTTCGCACACTTCTAGTCTAGTGGTGGTGGGCCTTAACCTCAATAGCAGAGTGAATGTAAATGCTTGAGATTATCAAAAACATGCAGTACAAGGAATATGAATAAGAGTACAGCGGAATACGAAACGACCTAGCTAGCCATGTACTCTAAGGGGTACATTCCCTTATTACAGCGAAATCCAACCGTGCGACTCCGAGTGGTTACGTAACTGTCCGGGCAGAATCCTCGCCACTGCTGCTGCCTGATGCTGTCTGCCCGACGGTCCAGATGCCTTTCGTAACCGTGTGACCCCTTCGCGTCGCTTCCGCCCTTTCATCTTCAGCCTCGGTAGTGCGTGCTGCGTTTGCTGCGGTGAGGAGTGTACAATAGTGTTTCTGTAATTACTATTCGTAACATCCATAAAGTGGAAAGCCTGAAACCACTCTGAAATCGGGGTTATTACGCTGATTAAAACAGCCCTAATTCAAGGGCTGTTAATACTTTTTAGAAAGAAACATTTTCTAATCAGTGTGATGTACAGAAAAAATACGCATAGTAGGTTTGATATAAAATTTAATATCCTCGTTTTTTTTTAAGGAATATCAGTTTTGATTGAGCAAACTTGTTTTAATGACTTCTTTCCCAATTTGTGAACACATGGCTATGTTGTAGATTATATGTGTGTTCACTTCATACTGACACATTCTTATCGATTCATCCGGTGCTGCGTAACATCGCGGCGCGAAAGCCGAGCTACCTACAAATACTGCTTATTTCTCCACTTTGTCATTGTCACCTTCACCTCCCTCTCCGTACTAATTTAGTCGTAGGAGGGTTGTGCCATCACATCTAAAATGGCCCTCAAGCTCAGTAACTCCATCCTCACTATCGCGATTCTAATATGCCTTCATATATCTTTCTCAAATCCTGGGTAACTTTCTTCAGCATCCTAATTTCTTCGCTTCAGGCTGCTTACAATTTTGTACAGGGTCTCAGCTAAACGACACAAGATTAAGAGCCACAAGAATGTCAAACTAACACCAACAAGTCGCGTTATGGACTCTGGGCCATCAATGGTTTTTGATGCTGGGGTCGAGGATCATATGTCTATTGACTCTGACGGGCGCGGATTTTACATATTTGAGGATGACTCAGGAAGTACGCATTTTAAAATCGTATTTTTGGATAACTTACTCTTGCTCACTAACATTACTCGGGTGCAGCTGCTCGTGTGCGATCTTCATCACGTTATCCGACGGGAACAACATTCTCAGGCGACGTGATGATTCCTAGTGGTGCAACGAGCGGCATTGTGTCATCCTTCTACTTGTCCTCACTGGAAGGCAGCACCACCCAAGACGAAATTGATTTTGAATGGCTCGGCAAGAACAACATGCAGGTTCAGACAAACTACTATGTCAATGGGTAAGAAGAGATTGCTTCACCGAACCGCTGCCATTGATCTTTCTGGGCTTTTCTTGCTTATGATATGTTTTCTGTGACAGAGTCGGTGGACACGAGGTGGTCATTGACCTAGGGTTCGACGCCAGCCAGAACTTTCATACCTACGCCGTTACATACGCGGATGACAGCATTCAGTGAGCAAACGCCTAATCTCGTTGTGGTGTTTATTCAGAACGTTTCTGACTTGTTTTCATTGCAGATGGTTCATTGATGGCGAACTCGTGCGCACCGTCTTGAAATCCACAAGCAGCAGTTTCCCGTCAATGAACGTCTATTTATACTCCAGTGTGTGGAACGCTTCTTTCATCAATGGTGGCTCGTGGGCTGGAGTTAACAGTGACCCTACAAATGCCCCTTATACCATTACCGTCAAGAATGTCAACATTCAGTAAAGTTGTGGAAGATCAGACGAACCTGTTGTATGACTATTTATTGTATGTAGATTATTAACATGTACCGTATTATCCCAATCATGCCGTCAGTCCTTTGGATCATCATCGCATGTGCGTGGTACCATGCTTTGTCATGTAAACATACTGGTACCGACCACGTCCCCGTGCTCACAGCAGGGCAGCTTTCCCACTTCACATTTGAGCAAAAACACCCGGATTGTTAAAAATAAGAACACCCCAGACCAGTCCGGCTTGTCTTGTTGTCTGCGGATCAAAATGTCTAATGCAGACCAGGGTGGTTCAGTTGTAAGCCACCTCGAGAACCTGACTAGTACCACATTTTGTGGTTACCATATAACACAAATGATCCTAGGCCTGGTCCACTCTGGTCCATTCTGACGGTTACAACGAAAATTGCAGGGTTGATGCTGGTCCCTCACACCCGTCCGTGACAATGAAGTGAGACCAGGTTCACGTCAGGTCCTTCGGACTAGCCATTCGTCGGCGGACCAAGGTCTTTACGGACCCAATGTAGCACCCCCTGAAAGACCAAATCAGAGTGGGGGATCCAAAGGAGACCTGGCTGGCACTACACGGACATTTGCACATTTTGGGTTTGCCTCACCCTAAGCAAGCATACCGGGATGACAGTAGCCAGGAAGCAGCCAACTGCATTACAGCATAGTCGTCTACGAGGAAATGTGATGGAATGACAGCAACAACACGGAGCAGTTGTCCTTGCACTTGCGCTCCCACACAGCCTCTTTCACCACCCTACGAGCAGCAGATTCCACCGACACCCCTTTCTGGAAAGCAAGCAAACAACGAACATGTCATCTGTCAAGAGGCAGGAAATGGTGTGATGCAAGAGAGAGTGCGTTGAAAACGCTGGGCCAAAGCCACATAAAGGATGGTGGAGACATGGTGAGCAAGTTGAGTGCAAGCATGGCGCGCTGCAAGTAAACTTCATACCTGCAAAAGGTCCTGCGTGAACTCGACAGCATCAGCAGGACTGAACACCTGCACACAGGAGAGGTGCAAAGGGGTGCACGGTGTGAGGTGCACATGGGTGACGATTGGGAGTCTGAAGGATGCATTGGGAGTGGATGAGGTACATGTGGGACATGCTGTGCACACTGCTGCTTATGGTGCTGGCAGCACCAGGGTACGGGACACCCATGCTTTCCCAATGAATTACTCACCCCCCAGAGGCCGTCACAGGCAAGCAGGAGAAAGCGGTCACGCGGGGACAGGTGAAAGACACTGATGTCAGGCGTGCATGATACCCCGGCCTGCATGCACACATGCATACGCACACACAGAAATATAAAGAAAGATAATTGTTCGATTATTTTGTTGAAGAAACATGAACAGCTGAAGCAGTCTGGCATCAACGACGGATTTCCTGGCCCTTGATCAAGACCACAGACCTTATGGTAGAGGTGCAACATTTGCGTGCTTCAAGTTGTGCATCTCAAACCCTGGGCAAACACTATTCAAAGAATAGCTCGTTTGGCAATACCTTCTTAAACTGGCGGTCCCCGAAAGCACGAGAGACCTCCAAGCGACCGAGAATGCGACCATTGATGACTGAGCCTCCAGCCTGCAGCTCAAAGCGCACAAGAGAAGCTAGTAGTGGCAGGCAGGCTTGCAGCAAATGATGGTGCTGCCAGCCTGCAGCCTGCAGGCTGCAGCATGACTGAGCCTCCAGCCTGCAGCAAATGATGGTGCTGCTGGCATGACAGGTGTGTGGAAAACACATGACGAGAAGCTAGTAGTGGCAGGCAGGGGAGGAAGCCGTACATTGGAAACAAGAAATATAGAAAGCACTGCACCTCCGTTCGCCTCCATTCCCCTCCATTTCCCCCCATTCCCCTCCATTCCCCCCACCTTCTCAATACGCTGCCTCTCGGCTGGGAAGATTGCCTTGTGCTCGCGAGTCACCACGATGGCCTTGAGCGCCGCACCCTCACTGCCTGCCCCACTGCCTGGCCCACTCCCTGCCGGGAGGCTTGCTGCTGTGGGCGTGGTGGCAGCTGGCGGTACAGCTGCATCTGCCTCCCTCGCCAGCACTGCCTTGGCATCGCCCAGATTGGCAACAAACACCTGGAAAACAAGGGAGGGGAAGAGAGGGAAAAAAAAGAGAAGGGATAGGGAGAGGGAAGGAGAGAGAGATAGAAAGCTTAATTCCTCAGTTGCTAATTATCGGCTAGGGTATCTTCTTCCTTGGCGAGCCACCGCCTGGCGATGGCTACTTGCAGAGCGTTGCCAGCATGTACACGCGTATGAGTGCAACACTGCACGTACGCACTGCCACGGGCCTTGCTATCCGTCATACTAAACCCTAAACCCTGGGCAGCATCGGAACTACACGGTTGAAAAACCGTTAGCACAGCAGCACAGCATACGCACCCGAGCCCCTCTACCCCAGCAGCATCATTGGACACCCTGTCCCGCCCCACACCCCAACCGGGATCCCTTGACCCCCTACTTCCCTCCGCCCCCCTAGTTGGTGGGGACAGCACACTGGCCAGCGCAGACATTGCAACGCATCTGGAACAAACACACACACACTTTTGCGCAGAGCAAACGGGCAGCGCTACTGCTCTGCTCTCTTCCAACTCTCAAAAGGCCGGAACTTTCTCTGGTCCCATCCCGCCTCGACGCAAGGGTGGCCGGCATATAAAAAGGCACCACCCCTGACACCCCGAGCCCACAAGGACCTGGCGTGAGGCCAACCTGGTGGTGGCAATGGGGGCCCGGGGCTCATAGGCCCATGGGTGGAGGCGGCAGGGCGGCACTAGGCCTCGCTGCCGACATCACTCACCCCTCCCAGCTCATCCACGTGCCACCTGCCATGCCACCCCCTTCCCCCCTGGTTCTCCTCTCTGACCTTGCACTGCATGCACGTAGAGCAGTGGGACGCATGTGCACGTAGGGAGCACATGGAGGACCATTCCCAGGATGAAACGCAAACTGGTGAACGTAGCCGACAAAGTCTCTGTGAGAGCAGAGACGGTGGTGGTGCACGCAGCAAGCATGAGCACGTACATGTTGGCCCAGCACCCACACACACACTGCTGTCGCTCCGTCCTGCCAGTTGCCTGCATACCGCCCACACAAGCGCAAGCCAGGGAACCCAACAGACGGAAATGTGAACATCATTTGAGCAGGTCGTGTGTGTGAAGTAGGCAGGCATAGCAAGCGCTTTTCAAACTGCAATAACAGCTGCAATATCTTTATGAACACTGCCGTGCAGCGAGAAAAATATCATGACCATACATGCAGAGGAGCAGTGAGTGAGGTATAAGCGAGAACACAGAAAAGCATGAAATTGTCCTGTGGGCAGTGCGGGCAGCGGGGAGACAAGGAGTGGAAACAGGCGCGCACCTGCGAGGCTCTCCTTGAGCAGCTGCTCGTCCGTGCTCTTCATGCCTGCCCACCCCCCTCACACACACTCACCACCACCACCACCACCGCCACACTCAACCAGCACCGCCCGCACCAATACACGCACACACATGCCCCAGAGCAAGCACAATGGCACGGATGGGTAAGTGCAGTGCAGACTTGCGATGGTCAGATTGAGTGACACAAACGCGAGAGAAGGCTGAGGTTTGTGCACGTGAGCGTGCAGCAGAGGGTAGCGGGTGGATGTGTGCGAGCATGGACAGAACGCATGGAGTGGCATGGCAGCAGGGTGCGGGCGGGAGCACGCACCTTCAATGATGGCTCGCTTGGCCTTCTTGATGTCCACCTGCAGGGGAAGGCGAGTGGTGTGGTTAGCAATAGCCAAGGGTTCATCCAATGGCCAACAGAGCTAATAAGAGGCACGGCGACTGCGGCAGTGGCAGCGGCAGCAGCACCCACCGACTCACGTGGCAGGCCTGCCGCAATGATAGCGGCGTTCACGTGCTTGGCTGCCCACTCCGCTGCTCGCCGCCCGCCATGCCCGTCCAGCACCGCATAGAACGAGCACCTGCCACCACCACCACAACGAGGGCACGCACGACCCGAGCACAGCACGATGCGCACGATTGGCGGGCTGTGCAACCATTGCCGCGATGACTCGCGCTACCCCCGGTGCCTCGCTCCTCCGACGCTACCTGAGCCTGTCCGCGCCGCGCGGTGCGTCATCCGCGTCGCCCCACGCGTTCGCCACGGCCACCACCACGTCCTCGAACGTGTGCCGGCTGCCGCGGTCCTCCGCCTGCCCCGCCGCCACCCGCGTCACCAGCTCGCCGTCGCCGCGCGCCTCCCTCGTCCTCCCGCTGCCCGCCGCCTCCGCCGCATCCCCCTCGCTCGCCCCTCCTCTGCCATGATCCGCCTGCTCGCTTTCGCTTTGACGCCCCTCGCCGTTCGCCTTTCCACCGCCATCGCCGTCCGTCGATTCTGTCGGTATCGCCCCTCCGTCGACGCTGCCCGCGATATCACTGCCGCCCAGCTCCGCACCGCCCGCCTTCCCTGCGGCGGCGGCCTCACCAGCCCCCACGGCAGCGGCTTCCGCCGCTTCGGAGCCGGCGGCACGAGAGCCGCCGTCGTCTGTCTTTAATCGCTTGGCGCGGCTGCCATCGTCGTCCATGCCTGGCAATGAAAAACTGAACGGACAATGCCGCACGGACAATCAGTTCCAGCACGTTTGCTGATTCACGTAAACCTGGGAAGTTCAGTGCTTTTGTCAAGCTAGCGATGAAACACGGGCCCAGTTCTGTTGCCGCACTACTGGTGCGGACCCCTCCGCACAGCACTAGATGATGCTTCGAGAGGGCCTCTACCGGAGATTCCATTCCAAGGGTGCATTCCTTGAATCAGGCTCGGGACCTTGAACTCTCTCCCGAACCTGGCCAGTGCTGTGCTGTGCTGTGCTGTGCGGCCTACCAAGCGCAAAAGAACGCTGAACCAGTAGTGCTGTGCTGTCCGCTCATCCCAGGCAAACTGGGTGCGAGACTGGTGCGAGACTGGTTCCCGCTCGGAAGATGTCAGCGGAATCAGGTCGACAAGCCTGTCGACCTGTGTCGACCTGTCGACCTGCTGCCCCGGGCAGCAAAAAAACTAAACCCCCATCGGATGGCATGCCATCCGAGGGAGCCTCAACCCTAAACACCATGCCTCCAGGCATTTAGGGTTGAGGCTCCCTGACCGGATGCATGCCCGTCTGGGGTTTATTTTTTTTGCCCGCGGGCAGCGAGCTCCCTCGGGCGTCGTCCTGATTCCGCTGAGCTATTTTCGGCGAATCGCGGACCCAGGGACAGCACAAGTAGTTCCGGGCAGGGACAAATGCCCCGAAAAAAACACGTTACGGGGGAGGGCAATGTCCCATTGGTGACAAGAATTATTTTTGGTACGGGTTGGCTGTATTGCTCTAAAACCACCAATTATCGTCGCGGAAAACATTTTAACGGTCAGCTCAGCAAAACTTTTACGAAGCTCCTCTAGTTGCGCGGAGGGTGGCAGGAAGCTGAATCGCACCAACGTGGGGGGTTCTTGGCTTCGCGGAAGCACCCGGCCGCACCAGAGGTGCTGTGCTGTGCTGTCCGCCCTCCATTTGCCGATGGGCAACAGAACTGGGCCAAGTTAATGGCCCTGTTCGACAGGCTAACACTCTGCAAAAGGCAAGTGTTCGGCTAGTGTTAAAGGGAGGGTTCAGAGCAACTTCCCCGAGCTGATCGACCGCCCAAACCAGTCGGAGGCTTTCGCGCAAAGGAGCAGGGCCAACAAGGCGAAGCTGCCCGCCCCTTTCAACATGGGTCATCGCGGGCACACTAGAAAATTTTGGGCCGCTCGCCAAAGGGGTCTGGGTAACAACGCCGGAAAAAAAAGGCCTTCCCCACAAATCGCTCGCCCTCACAAGAATATATATTTTTTTTAATGGAAGTTTTTTTCAACCAGACTGGTTCACAGAGACTTTTTTTTTCAGGGTCCACGGACTCGGTGTTCCTCCCACTGCAAATACTTGACGAGCCCTTTGGCAAACCCCACTTTTGGGGGGCGAAGGTAAGGGTACATTCCTACCTCGTGTCAGACACGAAGTGGAGGTTTGGGTGGAGGTTCGGAAGACCCGAAGTGGCCCACTTCGTGTCTGACCTCATGTCAGACACGAGCCAAGAATGTACCCTTAGGCTAGGCGAGGGCTAAACCTTTGCCCGTGCGGGAAGGCACCTGGTTCTTTCTGTCAGGGCGAAAGGGTCAAGTATCGGCTGCGATCGACAGGCTAACACTCTGCCAACATGTTAAAAAAAAATTGACCGTGGAAAAAAATGTGAAAACGAAACAGCCGCGATGATTCCGCAGCCGTCAGTGTTAGCCTGTCGAACATGGCCAATATATGGGGACGAAATTTGAATGAAAGAGCCGGTTTCCCGGCCCTGTTCAATAGGCAGCCACCTCCTTGCAGGGCTTGTGTTAGGCTAGCGTTTGGAGGAGCGCCCCGGGCGCGCGACATCTTTCAGCCCGCCGCGCGCCCCGGGTGCGTGGCGGTTTCCTGCTCGGCGCGCCGCCCCGTGGAGCCGCGCGCGTCGCCCGTGCATCCGACGCGCCGCCCCATGGGACCCGCACGTCGCCCCCGGAGACCCGCGCGCCGCCCTGTGGGACCCGCGCGCCGCCCTTGTGGACCCGCGCGCCGCCCTGTGGAGCCACGCGCGGCCCCCCGTGCACCCCACGCGCCGCCCCGTGGGACCCGCGCGCCGCCCTTGCCCTCGTGCGCCGCGGGGTAGCTTTCTGAGGGAGTGGTGCTAGGGATGCGGAAGGGGATGTGAAAAGGGGGTTTGGGGCAATGGGGGGAGGTTGAACGGAGGTAGCCGACTTGAAGCCAGCAGCGCCAGTAGTCCAGATGCCCTAGCTCCGGTAGCACGTGAGTCCGTCGCTCCAGTCACCCGTGGGTCAGCTGCTCCAGCCGCTCGTCTAGCCTCAGAGCCAGTTACTCCAGCAGTCCGGATACCCTTGCCCCGGTAGCCAGTGTGCCAGTTGCTCAAGTTGCCCGAGTGCCAGCAGCTTCAGCCGCCGCCTCCTATCTCCTCTCCTCTCATAGTCCCTCCTCCTCCTCACTTGCCCTCTGTTTCTGCCACTAGCGTTTGCTTATGCACTTGTCCTGCGATTGCTTGTTGTGTTGACTATACCCCACTTTGCCTATGGGGTTGTGTTAGAATGTTATGATGTGTAGGCTGCAGTGGGGTACTCAACAGTGAGTACAACCCTGTCAGGGTTTTCTATTTGTATCCCACCTGCCTGCTAGTGCAATCCTCTCTCTCCTTCTGTTATCATTCTCGTTCGTACTTCTAACAATTTACGTCGATTTCCCCTCGTTAGCGCGCTATCAGGAATTGTTAAGGCAGGGCAGAAAAATAAAACTTATAGAGAACCTGGATGCATTTCCGGGAGGGATCAATTCTAAACACGAAAACCCCCCTCTGTTTTTAGGGTTGATGCCTTCCTGAGCCGCATCCATTTCTGATTGGGTTTTATTTTATTGGTCAGATAGTATGATATATTTGCCAAAAAAACCATTTTGTTCTTCTGGTCTCCAAATATAAACACGATAAAACCTATCCCAGTAGAATACGACGCAAACTTTGTATCAGGCGGCGATCATAACCTTGGGGAAAAAACATTAAATCTACAAAGTTGACTTTTGAGTAATTTCCTCTATATATTACTTCAAACTGTCGGCCCAGCCACATGGGCAGCCCCGGGGATATATCCAACGGTTGGAGTTAACCTAACCCTAATTTGGTCATTCCCCTACTATTGTTTGTGAGGAAATTAACTCTGCAATGGTGGAAGCTAGACTATGGGGTTGGCACGAGTTGTCAGAGTGATCGTAGCTCTAGGACTTGTGTTTTCACAGGGCAAAACAACAAGAATTTCACTAAGGAATGTTGAGATTACAGAGTTCAGAATGAGAACAAGCAATGGCAAAGATTGACTACATCACATGCAAGGTTTGCTAGTGCTCACGCAGGTCGACTGCCAGCGTGACAGAGTTGTCGACCTGCCAATGAAGCAAGTCCGCGGTCCGCCAACGCAGCTCGTACGCGACTTGTCAACGCTGCAGATGGCGGCCTGCCAACGCTACACCCGCACGGCTTGCCAACGCAGCATCTGCGCGGCTTGCCAACAATGCATCCGCAGGTGATTGTACGCGCATGTGCAAGCACCTACTTCGCAGCTGCTTGTAGACAGTTATGCATGACGTGCATTGTCAAGCACATTGCGCAGGTTGTCAGCCACATGTTGACGGTTGCACCTGATGAGCCACGTCGACCACATGCTGCCACGTCGGTCGACTTCGCCACAGCAACCTCGACGACGTTCGCGACCCTCCGCAGAACCTCGTCGAGCAGGTAACTCGGTCGACCATGTAAGGCCCTTGACAACCCTGCAGGACGATGACCTTCGTCATCACCAGTTGACGACCTTCGTTGTCGCGGGTCGACGACCTTCGTCGTCGCGGGTCGACGACCTTCGTCGACCACCTGTGACGAACACTTCAGTCGACATTTCAAAATGTCAGCTCCTCATTGGTCGAAATTAGAGCACATTTGAATTTCTGGCCAAGATTCGCCTGTGCAGTCTCAAGGGTGCACAGGGTCAGACGCGACCCTGCGCCGACGAACACCCGCGAACCTCTGTACAAGCTGCGCCACTTGAACATGTGCACGAGACATCTGTGTTGCACTCGCGGATGCTTCAGTTACTCTTGCATGAATTCCCTAGTACATCTCGTGTACAGGCAACCCTTGTACACCTGCAGAAGGTCGGCTGCACCTCCCACACACCCGACCAAATTCCTTCAACAGTTCGCCCCCCATTTGATCTTTTCCCAATGAGGTAGGAGAGGGTCAAAGTTTGCTCGCTAAGGCCGTGCCGTTTTGGGGATGACAAAAGATCATGCCGTTGAAACCTTTTATTCGAAGGTTGACATTTACCGCCAACCCTCGACAGATGTCGACGTTTCACTTGAGACACGTCCGAAAGTGTTGGTCAGAAAATGATACTATGATCCTGGGGTGAGTATATACTGGGTGGGCATTTGTAGACAAATGTTTTGCACAGTTGCGGGTTTACCCATTTGGTGTGACTTTGGGCGAGCGAGAAAAAAAAATTGTGGCATGTCGAATGCTAGAATAACATTCCCAAAGGCTCTCCACTAGCGCACTACTTCAGCGCATTGTATTATTACCACGTTAGCTCGTATAAGAGCACGCATGCGAATGTCAACAGTCGCAGGAAGTCAACGGTCGCGACTGTTCACCACCCGCAACCATGATTAGAGGTTACGTACTGAAACATGGTAACCATAATGGATCGCAATGGTCACTGCAACTATAGCGATGCTTGCAAGACAGTGTCAAATGTTATATCTGCTACAGTTTGTTTAGGCTGTAGTGGGGTAGTTACTATGGGGTACAGTCAGTTTAGGGTTTCCTACTTGTACCCAACTCTTTCCTAGTGCAAACACTCTTGTTCAATTCTGACATGGTATTACGAGCCAAGGTTAGGAACTGTCAGAGATATATGACTTAGCCTATGTAGGCTGTAGTGGGGTAGACTCTAAGGGGTACAGGTTTCTAGGGTTTCACATTT